ACTTTCTATATATATCAATGCATAATTAAAATCTAAGTACTCTGAAAAAAGAGTCTAAAAATCGAGTGACTCTAGACCGTTTAATCTGCACTAAACACAGCTCATTATTTCGAACCGGGACAAAACAACAGATTGGCTTAGTCGACTGTCACTCTCTCGCAACCATGGCAACCACCCTTTTGCCACACAGGACCTGCCCACTTGAGCGTATCCAGATCCACCTCACTATCATGGCAAAATGTAACTTTATGGTTTCTGTGGTATTTGTATGAAAACAGTGGCCTAACAGTTCAATACATTATTAAATGCTGTACTTATATTCCATAAGACATTTAATGAATTGTCTACATTAATAATGTTATACAATTAAATATGTGTATATCCCACATTTCATGATGCAGTTAACAGTGTTGGGGAGTAGTTGGGGAGTAACAAGTAGCGAAGCTACTAACTTAACTACATTTTTCAGTAGCTTGGCAGTAGCTCAGTTGCTTTTTAAACAGTGTAGCTTTTCCAGTAGCTAACTACTTTTTGCAGCAAGTAGCGGTGTAGTGCGAGCAAAAGCTACATTACTACATTGTCGAGCCTGCGTGAATCAGCCCGATGCAAGGATATTCTTCTTCTTGTTAGATTACAAACTCATTTTTTGCCATTACCGCCACCTGTTGTTTAATCACGCATCTTGCGGCTAACGGTTCACTGACTTAAAGAAGTGGGTTGACAGTGACACACCCAGGTGACGGCAGATTTTGAGGACAGAGAAACAAACGTTAATTACCCATGGTCTTATTTGTCCAAGTTCAATCGTTATTTTTGAGAAAATGTTCTAAATGCAAGTTATGTTGAATGTATATTTCGTTCTTGCAATGTTGTAGGCTATTTGTTGCAATTTTGAACTTTTGACAAACAGTCTGAAATATGGTGTGAAATATGGTGAGTGTTGTGTGTAATAAAACAATACTCTATGAAATCATAATTGTATTGCATTGTTTTAAACACTAAATATTTGAATTAAAACATTCATCAGACACGTATTCAGTTATTTATAATATATAATTTATAACATCTTAATAATAATAGGTAATATAATATTTAGAATATGTTGTTCAAAAAGTAAAAGGACTTTGACCCGAGCGTATAAATGTTCCGTGTGGCGCGCGCGGTTCAAATGAGTTTCGTTCCGCTTTTGGCGCATAAACATTATCGAACATTTATCGACCTCTTGATATCGTTTTATCGAGAAAAATTATATCGTGATAATTATCGTTATCGTTTTATCGCCCAGCCCTAGGTGCTCGTCTCTTTTCTGCCGTTTTGTTAAATACCTCGTTAGTAAACCAATCGCACACAAAAAAGCAGCAAAGCTTGAATCTCCTCCATACAAAACTCAAAACAAACGCTCAGGCTAGGAAGAGCAGTCGCACGCAGTTCAACGTCATCTTGGTACTAGTACGCGGTTTAAACGCAGTAAGCAAGCGGTCTGGGGAAAAAAAAGTTACTGGGACAAATACTGTATTTTTGCGCAGAATTTGGTGTATAAGCCTACAGTTCAAATGAACATTTTGGTGTTCAACTTTGCTATTTACAAAATACAACAACCGTTCATTTTTCATTTTGCAATTAGGCCAACGGATTAAATAAGGGGAAACGAATGAACACAAAAGTAGACCGTTCGGACATAATATGAGGCAGAGTTCTTTTTTAAAATTCATAAAGGATACAAGGAATAGCCTACTAGACAAAACCTCAAAGAAATGCCACAATCAAGACCGCGGAGCAGAAATGAGGGACAAACACACAGAAACTCTGTGACTTTCCCTGCCATTAATGCTTGGATGACACACCACGTCTCCTCACACAAATAATAATAATGTCTAGTGCGGTGGCTGTGATATACCAACGTTCGTTGCCATCATTTTTGGAATGGCTTATCGCGAAAGGAAAAAAAAAATGTTTTAGTCGCATAACACCGTTAATAGAAACGCTGTCATTTCGCAATATTTTTTTTATCGACAATCAGAAAAAAAAAACGCAAAAGTTTTGTGCAAATATGTATTGACGCCACTTAACCGAGCAAAAAGGTTTCACTCGGTTATGGAATTTTAAACGGTTAATCTGTTACCGGTTAACCATGGACACCCCTAATATAATTTGTGTACATGCACGCGCATCGTGACGTCATCGGTTACTGTGGGTGTGACCGGGGGTGTGGTGTCTGTATGAATGTGTGTGTGTGCTCACCTGTGTGCAAGCTTGGGTTTGGATCATGGCTGCAGGGTGAGCATGGGGAGAAACTTTCTGTTGATCGTTATCACTGTCTTTACCGTCATCGTCATCATTACTTACATCTTTCACTGATGTCTCTGAGGTACCTTTGCACTGCTTACAACATTCATCACTCAGGCCACCCTTAAAAATATTCTTGTTTGCCATAACCCGACCGACCCTGTCAATTTAGGGCCGACCCAATTTTTTTTTTTTTTTTCCTTTTAGTCCGACCGACTTGCCGGTTGTAACCTGCGTTCAGACCGACCGATTTTTTTTTTACTCTTCAAACGACTAATTCAAATTCAATAAAATAATATTTATTATATTTTAGTTAGTATTGTGAAAGTTGCTTGTGTCTACATAGCCTACAAACGTAGGCTACGTTCTTTCTTAAATAAAAACCCGTGGCGTCATAGTCATCAGATTATGTCTCCATTGGTTTAACGTTACGCGTGTCACTATATGGCTTACGTTCGCTCGTTTCAGTGTTCCCGCTTGGTACCCGGTATTAAAAGGGCAACGGGGCTGAATATCAACCATTTCTATAATAAAAATATTAAACAATTTGTCTGTGATGCAATTTTGCTATTCGCAGTCCAGAACAGAGAGCGATCTTTCACCCGGAGCCACAGCGCGCACAGCACGACAGCCCTGCTTAATGAGTGACAATGAGGACAAAACGTGGTTACACTTTAGATCTGGGATATTATTCTAATTATATTTTAGATTTCCGCTTTCAAAGATTATAAAAAGAAGACATTTGAGATGAAACCATTACAGACGCATTCTGTCTAGCGCAACTTCCTTCTCTTCACAGCGTTGTGCTGTCATTTCTTCCTAAAACCCAAACGTACCGTCAGAATCAGCACGATTGTTGATTGTTGTAAAATGCAGTCTGTACTGTTGCTAAACTGCGGACGCGTTCAATCATTAAAAGAGCTAAGTTACTAAAAGCACAAAAGTCTGCGCAAGAGACGTTCACGACGCGCGCTCCGAAATGCACTAAAACGAGACAAGAAAAGTAGGCTATCGCCTCATTTTGGGCTTCATGTGCGCATCTAAACCATCAAATATACATAAAATATAAAATGACCTGCTCTGAGATTCATTTAAACACAGTTTGTCTTAATTGGACGTAAATAGTTGGGAGAAAATGATGGTGCATCAGTCATCTGCATTCGGTCTTAAAGGGGCAGTAGTCTAATAAACGTGACGATTGAGCCAATGCGAATCAAACAACAAAAGGCAGATACAAATCACTCACAGCTCTTGAATGAATAACTTAAACTTTAATAAGCATTAATCTAACTATGATAAACTATGCAGTGTCATTTTACATTTGATTACTAGCTAAATTAAATTTCTTTTCAGAGAGAGCGACAGACTTAACTGAAAAGTAGCTAATTTTAGACCTTCCTGAAATTAAAGCACTGTGTATAGGCTAATTTGTATCTTTGTTTAATTGTATTCTTTGTTTGACCATGTGTTTGTACTTGTTTTTGCTTATCTCATGTATATATGCATAACAAATAGATATTTTATACATTTTGTGACTAGCCTAAAATGTAACTGGTCGTATTTTGCATTAACACCTAGCGGTGGATGCACAGTTTGAAGACCCAGTCAGTGACGTCACAATATGCATTTTTTTTTTAAATTCACGATCACCATCTCCAAAATTGTACCTTTTTTTTTTACACTGAATCTTGGAAAAAAAAATATAGACCTACCTACCGACCCTTTTTTTAAAAAAAATTGCTGTTACTGCAAACCAAAATATTTTTAAGGATGGCCTCAAAGTAAGTGATTGGTTTTCTATGTATATGAAATAGCATAATAAAGAGACTCAATATGTACAATGGTTCAGCGTGACACGTCTTCAGTGTAAATCCTTCAGCCTGCTGCAGCGTCTTAGTTGTTTTGGTTAGGTTTGGTTGGTTTTGGTTTTTGCTTTAGTGATGTACACCGCTATAATACCAATAGCAAAAAAAAAACAATATTTGAGACAAAAAAAGTTTTGAGAGAAAGTGTTTTCCCATAGAACATTATACATAAAAAAAATATGAATTAGAAATTTTTTTAATTATTTCTGAGAAAAAAATCGCAAAATAATTTGAAAAAAATCTCAAATATATATTTTTTGCTTTCAGTGTGTGAACTTTGTGTGTTTCTCTCAAAACACTTTTCATTGCTCTCGATGCAATTTCTTGCCAGTCGGTTGAGCATCGTCTTGTCTTGGGAGTCGAAGTTGAACTGAATCATTATTACACCATTTGCTACAATCAAGGTGGTACGGTTGTCAAGTTTACTGGCATAGCCCTAGTGTTGATTTGTTTTTCAAAAGCATTTCTCAGAAAAAGCTTACTCCACCTTTAATTCAGTGTGCTCTGAATTTGATAAAATGTCTCTTTCTGTCTCCTTGGTATCTTGGTAACGTATTAAGCAAGAATTGGGCAAGTGTCATCTGTTTGTACAGATTTGGATCTTAATCCTATTTGTGGGTGCAAAGCCCTTTTGTATGTGATTTTAGTGGAAGCTGAACAGACTCTGGCTTTTAAATTATTTGGCCTGATTGGTTTTACTTTCCTCTGTGATTCTAGAATTAGATTTTGTTTTGTTGGTATGGTATACATTGTTTGCAGAATGTTCACACTTAATGTCCTACTTGATGGTCACTTGTGTAAGTCTTGATTTTACTGATGGTAAGAGGTGTTTTTTTTCTTTTCCAACAGCCCACTGTTTGTCACTTGGAAAATCGGCCGGGACAAGCGGTTAAGGGGTTGTATAGGTACATTTTCTGCCATGAACCTGCACTCAGGACTCAGGGAGTACACCCTTACTAGGTATGCCACATCTTTGAAATTCTGCTTTTCTCTCTCTAATATGTCTCCATTCATATCATAAAATTACATATTCAAGCTTATTATTTTTGGGTGGGGGGTTTGGATTTGCTCTTCTAATTAGATTTATTTCTAAAATATGAGGGTTTCCTGTTTTAACTTTCATTACTGCATCTTGATTTAATTTCTCTGAAAACAACTCTAAAGGACCTGTCCTTTATAAAATGGTGTGTTATTACTGCAGCACTAGCCCATCTCCCTTTCTTTTTTCTTCTTTTTTTTTTTTAAGTTAACATTGTCCCACCCCAAACTGTTGGTTGATCCAGAATTTTTAGGTTTCGAAAAGTAACATTTTTGATGCGCCACCGAGTTTATACCGGGGTGTTGAAGGCTGCGTTTACACAGTGCAGGCATAAATGTCCCAAATCTATTTTTTGTGTTTCCTCTCTACTGATATTATTATTATTATTATTATTATTATTAATAAATATAGCTGCAAGCAGCAATTAAATCACAAGGAATGCACAATAAGTAGCAATTAAAGGGCATATTAAGATTTTAGGCAAAATGCCTGACATCATATACAATCATTAGTAATGTGATTTAATGTTTTATCACTTTTGACCAATAGGTGGTGCTGTTATGAAACTGATGTAGTGTGATCAGAATAAGATGGTCATAATTCATGCAAAGTTGGGTGTCAATATGCCAAAGCACTGTAGTTAGGGCTGCCGCGGTTATGGAATTTCCTTTGCGGTAATGTTGAGTGGCTCAATAGCGCAATATGCGGTATTACCGCCATTTATTTATTTAATTTATATGTATTTGTTGCTATATAAATAAAGTTTACGATGTGGACAAAAACGAGGACATTTTCAGTAACCAATGTAACGTTAACCGATACTAAACAGTGTCTACAGTATATGCGCATTGAAAGACTTTCACTCAGCGCGCATATTGTTATGACAACGGATTTTGAGCGAGTCATTGAACTGTTCATTCAACGAACACGTTTAAAAAAGCTGATTCATTAAAAGAGATGTAAAGAAACAAGATGTTAATTATTTTTAACTTTGAGGTTCAACTTTTCAATGCTCAGCTGAGCAGCAATGCGTCGCATGGACAACGCTGAAGCTGATGCTTCACTTAGAGACCCATAGCATTGATTCAATGCGTGACTTACTGATTTTATTTCCCCGCGGCCTCCTTGTGCTGTGGGATACTGACCAGCGCTGCTGCTGACGTGCATTTATGGGAAAATACACGTGAAGAGAACGTTAAAATGATGATGCGACAAATATTTCGCTTCCCTTTGACACGACAAGCTTTTCACGACTTCAAAGACAGATGCAGGTAATTGCATGTGCTCTGCCGATCTCTCTCATTCACTGTCTGTGTGAAGCCTGTAGGCTACACACCACCATGACAAACAGTCTTGTTATCATTATGAACTTGTTTAACATTAAATACACATGCATTAAGTTCAAAACAAGAAGTGTATAGCTTTATTAAAAAAAAAAAAGAAACGTGAATATCGCGGTTGCTGTGGTTACGTGCAATCTTCTGCGGTTGACATGTCAGAAGCGCAGTACTACAATATTGCGGTTACCGCGACAGCCCTAACTGTAGTGATACAGCCTCAAGAGTAATTTTCGCATCATGCCTCAACTTTGTTGCTGTGCTGTACGAAAACGGTTTCATCAATCGACACGAAATCCACAACTTTTTGTTGGGACGGTCTGAAGAATATACGATTTAATTTTGTCAAATTCTTTTGCATGTTATTTGAGAACAGGTAGACGAATCAACTTTAAAAAAAAAAAAAAAATGTTGTCAGAAAGATCCAAAGATAATCTGGTTTAATTTTCGTGAAAATTGAAGCAACGGTCTAGGAGGAAAATGGCGGAAAAAAGTTTCTAATGGGAAATGACGTCATGTCAATCATCTTGAGCCGAGGAAAAAATTATTTTGTTTTTATCCCTTATCGGTTCTAAAGTAATTAGCATAACCATGAGTTAGGGCTGCACGATTTGGGCCAAAATGATAATCACGATTATTTTGATCAATATTGAGATCACAATTAATTATCACGATTGTTTGTTGATTTTAACCAAAACTAATTTTATTGTCACATAGGCTAATTGCTGCTTTCACATCCATATTGTGCTACATTCTTGCTAATGTACTACTATGTGCATTAAAATAAAACAGGTGCTCTCATTCACCAAAATTCAGTGCATCTCTTTAAAGAATAAATAAATAATAAAGAAAACAATAAATAAAATGTAGCAAAACTTCAAGAGGGCACTATTTTACATTGTGTAAATATATTTTAGGAAGCAAAATATAAACTTGCATTGTACCTGCATAATGGATGTGAATAAAACGTGCAAAATACAATCAATAAAAAACAAATATTCCATAACAGAATGTAACCAAATGAGAACATGTCAAGGCAGAACTATGCACTATGGAAGTTCGATTAATGGATGAAATTCAGAGTCATTGTTATTTGACACTTAAGAAATGTAAAATGTGTCAGTGATTAGTTGTGAAAGCTTACTGCATACATTTAATCTATTTAATCCTCCATATGAAAGTTTATGTGGTCGAATTATTTCTATTTATTAAACAATAGTTCAAAACAAGATGTTATGTACCAATTTACTAATGCAATTTACTAATGCTCACACTTGGTCTCTCATGCGCGCTGTCACTCAGTCTCAGACACAACCGGTATCTCTCGCGTGCTGTCGCTCCGTTCGCTCGCACGTAGACACACTCAAGGTGTTTCTCAATGTCAAGGAAGGATCCTCGGAAGTAGGGCTGGGCGATATGGCCAAAAAATCATATCTCGATATTTTTTGGTCAAATGGCGATATACGATATATATCTCGGTACTTTCTACGTTTTCTATTTAGATAAAGAAAATCTTTATATTTAAAAAAAAAATAAAATAAATAAATAAATAAATAAATAAATATATATATATATATATATATATATATATACATATATATATATATATACATATACATATATATATTCACATTCGGCCCAATGATATCCTACAAACAATGTTGATATTGAAGGATATGGAAACAAATATAATATAGGCTATGCAATATATTATGTGCAAAAAGCTTTTGTTTTTATATTGACTAAAAGCTAAACTAAAAATGAAAATAAAAACAAACAAAAGCACAAACTAATTATATTAGCCTGCATTTGATTACCCCATTATAATCACTTTCACTTTCATTAAAAATATATACTTGTAGGTTTAAAATTCCACATATGGCACATTTATTTTCTCCAACAACAAATATTTTAGCAATATGTTTATTTTAGTCAGAATTATTGCGTACTACGTAGTACTATTCACGCGCATGCGCGCGCCGGCGCTCGTTCAAGGAAGCATGAATTTTAGCGGAGATTCACTTGCAGAAGCTCGTCCTCTTCTGACATGGACATATATGTTGTGAAATGGACATATTTGCTTTACTTTCTAACATTTACAGATGGAGAATATACCTGTGAAATGTAAGTTGAGCACTGAGGAAAGCACCACATCTCAAACGCATTAAACAGCGCAAGTATATCTGTCAGTCAGCAGCAACAGTGTCTGTCAGAGCATTTGACAGGGCGGCAAGCTGCCTTAAACTTGTTAACTATATCAAAGTGATTTTGACGCAATTAATATAAGCTTGTGTCATGTTTAGGACAAATTGTACTACGTAGCCTAGCTACTTTCACTGCAGCAGCTCACACTGCAACCTCCGCTATTTTTCAGATGTGCTCATATCAAACTACTGTATCGATATAAACGGTATTGCCTTATTCCATATCGTTTCAAAAAATATAACGATACATCGTACATACTCGATATATCGCCCAGCCCTACTCGGAAGCCGTAATTTCGAGGATGCTATCCTTCGCACACTTTTGAGCGCGCTTGGACACTCGTCGCGCTTGGAGCCTGTAGCTCGCGTGCAGACACACTCGGTCTCTCTTGCTTGTGGAGGCACGTGATCAGACAGTGGTTTACGGAGCACTAGATTGGCTTTGCAAAAAAAAAACAAAAAACAAAAAAAAAACTTTGATATACGGAATCTGTGAATCTGCATTCTGTGAATGGAATGACGCATTTTAAATATCGCTCGATCACGCGAATTTGATCGTGGGAAGCCAAAATCGTAATCGTGATCAAAATTCGATTAATCGTGCAGCCCTACCATGAGTGCAACTTTGGATTTAGAGACTATGAATGTGCCAAATTTCATAACTTCCCTGCAAGTGGTTCTATGGGCTGGCAATGTGGTCAATAAATAAAATGCAGATAGGTGAATAAAGCTCATTCTGATTCTTAAGCTCAGTTATTTTATCAGTGTTCAAGTGAATAAGCAATGGGCATTTGCTTGCTTTGGCTATCTCACCTATGTGCATGTGCTGAATATGGTTACACTTGGCTCTACTGGAATTATGCCAGTTTGAAATGGCACAGCTTACATAAAACCTTTCCATTTTATTTCTAATTTAAAATACTCCTGCACCTAAGTTGTCTTTTGAGCTGTCATTTCTGACACGCATGTGTTCAGAGGTAAAATAACAAGATTAGGCCTACTGAAGGTATTGTTAATTGTTTTTCCAAGTGTTTTATTTTAATCTGCAATTTAAAATGCCTTTAAATACAAATGTAACGATGTTCAAGGCTTAGAGAAGAATGGGGAACTGGTGAACGGTAAATAGAAGTCTTAAAATAAATAAAACAAAAGTAAACGGCAGGTGCTTCACAGCCGACTGATGCCCATACGTAGACAAAATGCAACATAAATGTCCCAGGCCTGGTCTTCTCGTCTTTCACTGTCGTCACTCCACCTTTTATCCTTCAGAGCTCCTGCGACTTCAGAGTGGTCTAGCGCACAGTGACGTTCATTAACATTTGTGCCACCGGCCTCATTCTGTTTCCACGGCTCGCGGCCTGCTCTTCACTGTAACATTAA